ACAAGTCTGCAGTTGTCTGGATCTGTCAACGCCACCAGCTCACTGAACGTGAATTGGACAATCGACTTCCAGTTTCACCTTCGAGACGGTAACTGGCGCCCTCCTTCAGGCCACTTTAGCGCTTTACTCCGTCAGGTTGACGATCTAAATGAGTCGTCCGAGTGGATACTGCAGGATAGTTTTTAGTGTAGTTGGGCAAAGGTGCTTTGATGGTATATAACGTCATCAACAGTTATCCTCCAAGTTGCTGTCAGGCCAGAGTGCAAAAATTGTAAGAGAGAAACAGACAGACAACGTTGCATTTTTTCCCGTTGTTTAGCTATCTCTGATACAGTTTACACCAGACGTATGCCTATATTATGGCCTCTGAGAGTTTTGAGGAGAACACTGACTCTTGAGGTACAAGATGTGAGGAAAACTGGGCTCACATTTGTACTTCTAAGACAAAGTTGATTGCCCCGGAAACTGATGGAGGCTTATTCGCCGTGGGGCGAAGAAGACTTGAATTGTTTATCGGAGCGGCAGAACTGGGAGCCAAAGACTTTTTCGCATAATCCAACAATCCTCCTTCATATATATGAAGTGTATTCACCCTAGGAGACTGGTGGTTGAATTTTTCCACAGAGCCTCCATTGAATTCTACACAGCCTTGCTTTCTCAAAAGTTGTTTTCATCCTTTTTGGCAAAGTAAAGCAATGCCGAATTGTATGAAAACGCAGTCTCATCTTATGGTTGTGGGACATTTCATGCACCAGTTATCTTATCAACTCAATCCAAATAGGGTGAATACGCCTCATATTTTTTATGTACTGCTAGGCCCGGACGGTAAGTTCCAATGGAGATTCTAGGCACAGGACGGGTGTGGAGGGTCTTTATTGGGAGTTTGTGTATCGACAGGGAACCGTGTACCTGCAACTGTATATACAAAGAGTAACTGGGTTTCGATTAATCTTTTGAGATAACAATGTTGGGCAGACCTTCATTTCGTATGAAGATGTCTTATGAAGAGATTCGAAGGTCGATCTCTTTAGAAAATGATGGCCGATTCGCGTCTTATTCCAGACATTTGGCTTTAATACAACGTTCATGTTGACGCAGTCCCCCGAGATATCCTCCCTTGCTTCAGGTTAAAACAGGCTGAGCTTTCATCCGTAAAATGATGCACATCATCAGAGCTGTAACTCATTCTTGTACAAGTCTCGTCTTTACCTAGCGTTAACATGAGACTTTTACAAGAATGTGTTACAGCTCTGATGATGTGCATCATTTTATGGACGAAAGCTCAGCCTGTTTTCATCCGAATTGAGGCTGCAGCACGACGCGAATCAGCCATATTCTTCTGGTGAGATCAACCTCCGAATCTCTTCATAAGACACTTTTATACGAAATGCAGGTCTTCCCAACATTGCCTTTCACTGGACAAGATAGGTTTCGGTTGCAATCGTCACAAATAATCTTTTTCTAAATGAAGAAGAGTTATCCTGTTGTATAGCAAAAGCAGGCGGATGGGCAGTTTAGTATGCTGGCGAAATAGGGTATCTTACACAATGTGTAGAGGGTACTTTCCCTTTGGGTTTACGCAAAACTGATCTCCATTGCAGCATCAACTTACAGACAAAAACTATGCCCGCTTAAAAGGGAGACCGATGGGGAATTCAGATGTATGATACCAAGTTGGCGAGACGTGGAGCGATTTGTCAAAATTGACTCCCGTTTGAAGGCAAAAGGGACAGTTAACATTTCGAATCAGGCAGACGCTTTGCATCTGCCCGAGACGCGGAGGAAAAGAGCCCTGACTGCATCCATCCATGTAGGCGGGTAAGGCAGAAGATCTGGCCCGACGGCAGCCTATGTAAAGCACATGACGGCAAAAGCTGCGTAAGTTTTGCCGAAGCACGGTGTGCGCTTGTAAGATCGTCCGGAACATCGTGACCCGCATACGAAAGAGCTGAGGGATGCGATGGATCGTGTTGCCCACCTTCATTTGGGTCAGAAATACACTTGCCAAAAAGGCAATCAGATGAGTTGTGAAGAGAAGCTGAGTCTCGAAGAATCCCTTACTAGATTGCTGTTGAGATACCTTTGTTTGAGGCAAGAAAGTGGAAGGGATTTGTAACTTGGCCTCATCTGCTGCCGAATAAGGGCTTACTTGAACTGGTGACTGTTGTAGATACGAAGAAGACCTCGGCTCACCGTCCTGCGCTGAGATTTTGGGTCCGTCATTTGACGGACATCATCAGAGCCAGAAACCAGAATTTACGAAAAGTCACCAAATCAAAAAAGGTGGTGATTTAGTGTTCTGTTTTGATGCATGAATATCACATAGATGACTAATTTTACTACGATTGTTTGTTTGATCTTTATTAGCTAAGAAAGTAAGTTTGCTATTTGGGGTGCTTCCAGGCGTTACTTTAGATCACTTCTTCCTTCTGTCTAAAGTGTAAAGGTGGAAGTTTCAAAACGTAACTAATTCATAGAAGTGGGTTTACCTCGCCGTCGCAACTTGGTCTTGATGTCAGGGTGACTTAGTAAAACGCATCTAGTCCGAAGTCGTCTGCCATAGTAGCTGTCATGATTCCCAGTATCAGACAGTGAACTTGGTACATTCTTGTCTCTTTTACGAGTTCGTAGCTTGGCGCAGCGAATGACAAAACTCACTGATGATGCCGACTTCGATGCCGGCAAAACGTTTGAGAATGTACCAAGTCCACTGTCTGATGCTGGGAATCATGCCAACTACTATGGCAGACGACTTCGGACTAGGTG